GAGTGCTATAGCTGCGCCAACTACCAAGCTAGCAATCAATGGCGCAGCTATAGTGAGATCTCGGGATCATCATTTCGCTTGTCTTCGCATGAGGTGGACCACACCGATGATCCTATCTGAACCGGCGATGCTACACAAGCCTTGAGTGCAATATGTCTACCGTAGGCCTACCGGTACCATTCGTCCTTCACCAAGCCCCATCTCGGACATCATGGACCAGGTGAAACAAGTCTTCGACCTCTCATCAGGTTTCCTGTCCACACTTATTGGCTCAAGCTCCAGCAAGTTCCAGAGACAGGAGAGTCAACCGGCATTGAAAGTTCAGCAAGTCCAAGACTAAGTCTACATGAACTGTGCAGAACTGTACGCGGAACTTAACAATGAACAGTCAGTTATTGACAACAAAATTACATAACACTGTGCCATGAATGTCACGTAGAGCATAGCGTATGAAGTTTGTGTAAAATTTGCTGTGAGAATTTAAGAACCGATTGCATACAACTTTCCAGATCAGCCGTGTTTGGGAAACCTTTTTGCTGCATTTTGTTCACTGCACAGTGAAACACGATTAGCCTACATGTACTCTCACATTGTTTACATTTGTGCAACATTGTTCCCTACCAATTTGAGTCATTGGTTGATGCTTAATGAGAGATTGTTGATTTGCATATTGTTTCGTGTTACATGCACATCACTGACATTTCACCCATAGCATACTGTGCATTGACAGAATATTTTCTGTGTACTTTATTGAGAAGTGTGTTGCTGCTGAATTTAATTGCTTCTTGATATAGTTAAATGCGCACACAGTCGTAGTTAATAGAGATGCCTGATGTAGTTAAGGGTGCATTTATGTATCATTCTACAAGCACATGTTATTCTTGTTGACCGTAGATTTACAGAAAGTGTGAAATTATCTTGCATTGATAATATTGTTCCCAAGTTAATGTCATGGCTAGCCAGGAAGTGAACGACCAAGACCAAGTGAAGCAGCTTGAGGAACAGATTGAAGAACACACTTCAGCCTTAGAGTCAGTAGACGATCCCGCAGAAAGAGAGCGAATCTTGAAGGAAGTCAAAGTCAAGCAGGAGCAACTCCTCCAACTCAGCAAGCCCTCCGATGGCAAAAGAAGGAAAAGCAGCAGAGCAAAGCAGCCCACGGCCAAGATGGCAGAGCTTCAAGAATTAGAGAAAGCTAAAAAGCAAGCAAAATTGAAGAAAGCTTTCGCCCAAAAGTATGAGTCGTGGAAGGAATGCTGTAAGGCTGCAAGACGGCAGTTGAAGGGTTATTGCACGAGCCACACGCTGACTGAAATCTCTATCCGGCATTTCCTGATGACGAAGAGAGCATACTGCTCGAAACGTCGAGTACCACTGGTTCTTTTCAGAACCGCAAATACTCACAAAAGAGATACATGTACGTCCATGGTGCTACCGCAAACACTACTACTTTAATAATGAACAGGAAGTTTCACATGATCTGTGAGTGTTCAATGTCAGGAAACTGTTAAGATAAGAAATACTACATGCACTGATTGCTCAGAGCAACAGTTGGGAAAAACAAAGAGGACCTGCGTTAAAACTGCCACTGTTTCTGCCAAACCTGTAACCTTCCATACTCCACATCAGCATGCAGAAGCTAGCTGTCAGCTTGTCAGTGACTGACTTGGCTTGGTAAACTTCCCCTGTACAAACACCCTGGGCACACACAGTCCCTCCTTCTTGTTGACTGTTTCTCTTAGGACATACTCGCTGCTTGCGGCCTCAAAACCAGCTTCTGTGAACAACTTGCTCAGATGCTCTAGAAAGAAATGTAACAGCAGAGCAGGTGACTGATACAATGAAGCTTTCTAAAGTGCAAAACATCACACCAATTGAAAAATTTGACAGCTACGCAAACTGCCAGTTCCCTTTCCAACTCAACAGACACCAACAACTTCAGGAACTGTACATTCTCTCAACTTGTGTACATTTAACTCTTGCTTTCTCAACTGGGTTGTATAAGCTCTTCTCACAGTGTCTATTATCAGACCTGCCAACCTAGCCATACTCCTTCCTGAGGTCAGGCATTACCACACAATAGATTAAAAGGTGTGTAAATGAGCCTTCACTTCATTTAAAATGTTAATCTATTGTGTGGTAATGCCTGACCTCAGGAAAGAGTACGGCATGTTGGCAGGTCTGTATTATTCATATTATTCGTATGTGAAAGTTTGCAAAAGTACCAATTTATCACACTTGATTAGGTTCAGATGTGAAATTTTTTTAAACACTTAATGAATTATTCTTTTGCTTTTGTATCAAGGCCTACCTACGGTAGGTTCACCAGCCACTAGTGGGCAAAAGTACAAAGAGCGGACCCTATATGTGATTGTAAGGTCTTAAGTATCAAATTAAAGCAATGATGCTGTCCACTTTGTAAATATGGCCTCTATGTCCCCCAAAAAATTAAGTGCTGGGTCCGGCTAATTGTTGAGATAATATCAGTCCACTAAAATACAGGTTTCCTGGCTTATTTCATAAAAAATATTGTCCCATTCAACACGTGGTCCATTCAAATTGTTTTAGAATACATCCCAAAGTGTCCTTCAATGTTTTCACCTCTGCAGTCACTTGTTAAATAAAATTGATGCATCTTCAAAGAATCCTCTTTTTTTCACTCCAATTGGCTTGAAGCCTTGAGAAGATGACAATAACCAATCAGCAAACAGTTTCAAAATGCTTCCCTGCAAATTCAGGTCTTTGGCATAACATGCTTCCTGATTTGTATATCAACATGGATTTTATCAACATATGAACATGGATTTTACAAGAAAGAAAACAAAAAAAGACTGGTGAATAATTTTTTTATGTTAAAATGATAACCCTTTGGTTTTCTTTGGCATTGCTACCTGATTCTTATTTGCATACATACGTGTATCTATGAAGGTGGATTTTCCAAGAAAAACAGGAAAAATGTAAATAAAGCCAGAGCAACTTCTACTTCTGCCTTTTAAACTTTCACTTGGAATGATCAGAATTAAGGACTGAAATTAAGAAAAATGGATGGATGGTACCTGAACACACAATCACAAGAAAAGCCTCTGCATTGGTTTCAACTAAATTCAATTAAAGACAGCCTACATATGTTAAATAGAAATTCTGTAAATCAAGATGATTACAGAGTTTCCATATCATTAAAGAGCATTTATGATGAAAAATGCCCAGCAACTACTCAAGTCGTACTGCATCTGAATTGAACATTTTAAAGTCCCAACCAGAGTTACTCTAAATTATGTAACATCGCAAAGGTTGAAAATCCTTTCTGCTTTGATGAATCTGCATTTGACAGCATTAATTAGTAATGCCAGCAGAAATTTAAATTGTGACTGATAAAAAATAGAGAATTGAGTGCCTTTAAACATGTTAAACAAAATATGACAATAAACACATATGAAAACTGAAACAGTGAAAAACAACCCCAGTATGAATAAAATTGAAAAGGGACATTAATTTAAACATGCTGATTAAAATAAATGCTGTTTTGCTAAAATTGGCCAGAAAACCTCTTTGTCAAATGTAATTTACACTTAACATGAACTTCAATCACCACTGAAGAATAATTTCCATTTTACTGACTGACACTTAAGCACCACTTTGAAATGTTGGCATGAATATCTCTTTTCCCAAGAAATTAAAATCTATTTCAGATTTAGCAACCTTTAACTCTGTTTCGGCAACATCAATAAGTTGCTGTTTCAAAGCATACAAACCTTCAGTGAAGTAGTAAGCCCTTGTGCCATCTTGCCGTACATAGAAGTTTTCTCCTAGTTTATGACCTTTACTGAATCGTAGCATGGCATGGTCATATAACCCGTAATCTCTGAACAACACGCATCCACCTGGTTTGAGCACCTGTTCAAAGAAGAAAGAGAATCCAAGTTACTGCAGAGGAGGTATTCTAACGTGGAAGGTCTTACGCTATCAGGAACTTAAAATCTGAATTGTTCATCAACTAATCATTAGCCTTTTGTCAAAGCCTTCTCGGCTGTGTTTATGTGTAACTGCAAAGCGGCTGGACCGGAGACCAGCCACGAGACCTTTCCAACTTGTCAGGAATTTCTTATGGTTTCTTTATGTTTTTGACTTTTGCTACCCCTACCCCATTGGGGTAGCAAAAATCCCAACCAATCATAAGTGAGGGGGTCAGCATACATTAACCTATTATGCAAATTGAAAGATGGCGAGCGTGTCAAGTGTGTCGGCGGCCGTGAGTGCAGGTCAATTGTCTAAGCAGTATTTGGACAGTTCTTTAGAATATGCTGCTGGGAAACTTCACCTTGCCGAGTTTAAACCATTGCAGTGTTAGGCTATTGAAGCATCTGTACGCGGGCGTGACATTTTCGTCTTTACCCATGGGATATGGTAAGACTGACATCCATCTTTCAAGCACTCCAATGTCAGAACCACCCCCCCCCACTAACAAGCATCATAGTTGTCATCTCACCACTTATTGCCCTCATGAAAAACCAGATGGAAACATTACGTAAGCTTTGGAGTTGATGCCGTTTATTTCAGAGACTCATCTACTTCAACTATTTACATGAAATTTATGAATAATGCATATCAGAAAGCTTATGAATAATTCACCACAAAAACCTCAAAATCAAGTTGGAAAAGGCCTCGTGGCTGGGCCACTCGCCTGGTCTCCTGTCCAGTGACTTTGCAGTTACACACACACAGCCATGAAGACCTTGACAAAAGACTAACTGATCACTGGCCCATGGCAAATTTTGTGACGTCTTAGGAAAATCCAGGTAACAATACATGTATGTTGGGATATCCTCCCCCAAAAACAATTAACAAATAGAGCAAAAATGCAATCACCATGAAGAAGGTAAAAAGATGACACTTATTTACCAGTACATTTTAAAAAGTATGTCTTAAAAGTTTTTTGGTCAACTTTTAGTATCAAATACAAGACATTTTCAATTGTTGGTATTACAGTACGACAGTCCGTGCTGCTCACCTCATAGACATTTTTCAATGCTAATGGCATCTTTTCCGGATGAATTGCTGACAAAACAAATAACATGGTGACGATGTCCAAGTGGCACTCTGGGATACTTTCTCGTAACGAATCAGCAGTTAAATCACACTGAAAGACACAAATCCTGCTGGGGTCATAGGCAGGATTCTCCTAAATAAGAAAAGGAAAATTAGAGGAGTATGATGACCAAGGCAGAATCACATGAAACTTTCCAAATTACGGTACACGTACATGTACATTTGTATATACATTTAGCTGTTAGCATTTTGCTCAAGCAAAGACGTCAATGGAAAGAGGCACAAGTATTAAACCTTAAGCCGTCATGTTCTTTCACCATGTACTTCAATGAAGACTGTGCATAAAGGGTACCACATAGAGCCACTTGCTTTTAAATGTTACCACCATTAAAACCTGCAGCATTTTCAATCCTTGTCCCGTATAATAAATGCATTAGTTATGCTATCTTGTGAGTTTCTCAAGACAGCAACAAGAGGACTTTGAACCGTAAAATCGCCACCCACATGTACAATGTACATGTACATGTAATTTACAATGTACCTGTACATGTAACCCCCCTCTGATACAAATAGGGTTGTGTCTATGCCATGTTCGCATTGCACTTTTTTGGCAAAATTCACTGTGACTATATTGCAAATTGGACAAAGTTAAATCCAGTGCAGACAGCCGGTAAAGTGGCATAATTGTCAAGTGTCAAATGTTGGCTGTGAGCTTTACCTAATTATGTTTTACTGGGCTATGGGGCAGTGGAAGAATTGCATTGTCAGGGTTACATGACAGAATAGGCCAGGACAGATGGCTGCAATATTTGTAAAACTTGTACAGTATGTTGATCACATACATGGGTCAAGGCATAACCATATAATCTCTATCATCTCACACACGCACCTATACAACGTAACAACGTACAAAAATATTGAAAAATTCCCGCTTCCCGGAAGCCACATCCAGTGTCAGATTATAAGGTCAATTGGAATAGACCCTCATAAGATCCTGAGAAGACACACCACTGCAGACTATCCATGAGTTGTAGTAATTCATGTGCATATGCACAGAAGAATAACCACAATGGAATGTTAACAAGTGCTCACGGCAACTTTCCACAATTTCTAGTCCAATGCAAACGAGACTAAAATGCTTTTCAGTCTGTAGTTACAGTTCATCAAGCACAGTAAATGTCTCAAACAGACTAAATTCAAATGTAGCACAAAACCTGGATTAAAATACATGATTACGGCACAAAGTTCCCCTCCTAACGGATCTGCCATGGACAAAAACGGTAAGTTCCAAGACAAGTCAACTACCTTGACAAATTGCACAGCTCTGGGTGAGAAATCGCAGGCATAAACAAACAGCTGTCTGTTCTCTTCCAGCAGTGGATAGATGGCATTGCCGACTCCACATCCCACTTCCAGTAAGAACCTCTGGCCTGGCCTGCTGCCATCCTGCACGCAAAATGAAACATCAAAATGCAGGAAAGCAGTACTCTACGATGGTCTGGTGAAGACCACCATACAAAAAATGCTGAGCAAATAATCAACGGGGGGGGGCTTTGATCAAATGGGCAGGGGGACACACTACCTGATAGACCACAACCTCAAGGGTATTTCTAAATTAACATCAAGGAGATTAGTAAGATTTGAAGCTTTGCATGGTGGAAGTTACATAAGATCTAGGCTGGCAGGTACACCATGGAATCAATTTCTTTTTGGAAGAGATTAACACTCACTGGTTCTTCTAAGAACCACACATCGTCAAATCAGTGATTAATTCCATGGTGTACCCACAAGCCTACATGTAGATCTTGCCCAGGAGATTATATTTGCTCATGTACAGTGTACTCCCATAATATCAAAACAATATAACAATAAAATCAGAAGTATAAAGTGGCAGTGCCACACTAATGTAGTAACAAAAACAGAGGCTGGAACAACAATCAAATACCATGAGAATGTGAAACAACTCTGCATATAACACAGGCTAAGAACTACCTCAAGAAGATCACTGCTTGGTTAAAAAAAGGACAGGGGAGTCAGAGGCACTAGCAGACAAATACAATGTAAGTAGGGGGTATTACTACTAGGAGGAGGGATACAAACTCTGAAAATAAGTAAGTTTCAATACGGGCGATTCACAATAGTGTGCCTCCAAGAGTTTACAAAGCATTGGGCAATCACAACGCGTGAAATTTGTTGATCCTTTCCAAACGTGCATTTGGTCAATAAATTTTGCGCACAGTGATTGTACAATGCGTTGCAAACTCTTGGAGGCGCACTGTTGTGAAACGCCCGTATTCCTTCATACCTACCAGTACATGTACAGTACATACATGTACACTGTACACCCAGAGATAAGCAGCATCAACAAATGTGAAAGTCTTCACTTTACACATATTGACAGAGGCAAACGCAGAATAATAATTTACAATAAAAGTAGGTACAGGCAGCCTGGATAAAGACTGAAAGGATCATGCAGTACTGGTCATTTGGAGCCTATGACAAACTATTGCAGCTCAGCCAAAAAAAGTTGGGATGTACATTAAACTCATAAGACTTCACTGTATGCATCTCACTGAACTCCTGGAATAAAGTTCATGAATGATGCACAGATGTGGCGCAAAGCATGGAAGTGCAACCTCCACGGTGCAAAGTAATGAGTATGGTGTCTTTCACATAACCAATGCCAACTGAACCAGGCAAAAAAAAACCAAGAAAACTACACACCACCACCCACTGCTATGCCCAAGTTGCCAATCCACATCCCAGTGGGCTTCCCAGTTGGACAATAACTAACATGCAGTGTGCCTGAACAAAGTCAGTAGCGATAAGAACTGAAAGTATGGAACAAGAAACTGACCAGTATCTGTCCAGGTAGTAAGACCTGAAGACATGTGTATGTACGCTACCAATGGGATCTGTATTGTATTACAACAGCCACAATAGGACTCATACTACAAAACGACTAGCCTTCTTTCCAAACAATGGCATAGTCAGGCTCTTCTCAGAGGGAGATAAGAGGAAAGGGTAAGAGTTCCCACAGTGGGGGGAGGGGGAAGAGTTCCCACAGTGGGGGGGGGGGAAGAGTTCCCACAGTAAGGCCACCTGCCCCTCCCCGGCTACATGGTCAGGCTATAATCAGAAGGGAGGAACAAGAGTTTCTGTTTGTCCCCTTGCCTCCCCACCCTCAGCCTCAGCACTGTTTTAAAGATGAAACTGAAAAGTGATGAAATCCCATTACGAGTGTGTCCCCCTACTAGACATTAAAGCTACAGCTCAGAGAGTAACCAACTCAAACCTTGTTACACTATGCATATAGTTTTCATGTTTGGAGGTCCAATGAAAAGTGAATCCCACATACTGGAGAACCACCAACACAGGGCTGTACTTGTAACTCAGTACAATACCAGTGCATAATAGGAGTAGGTTATTGCAGGGTACAAAAACGATTTTCTTTATTTTCTTTAATCCTGATTAAAAGTAAATTACAGTTGGTCCCCTGATGGAATACTAACCTTTGACTCCAGCTCTGCCAGTTCACAAAATTCTCTGGTTGTCCAGTGTCTGTCCTTGAAGAAGTTGGTGGAGTTCCTCTTGTAGAAGAGGTCCCAGTTCTTGCGAGCTTCTCGCTCAAGCTTTGCTTGTTTGTAGTCTGACACCAGCATGTTATCGGCATTCAGTTTTGTCCACTCTTCAACCGTCAGCTGGCGACACCTATGGCCTTTTTCTTGATCAGAAGGTGAAATGCTTGGATCAGCACTTCCAGCTGCTGCATTTTCTGTCTCTAGAATGTTCATTTCTTACTGGAAATGTAAGAATAATTTCTGTTTGAATCTGTCACTTCTAAGTACGTAGGAAACTCAGCAGGAATTGTGCAAAGAACAGAAAGCAAGGCAAATTAAAAAAGAATTTTGACAGTTTTGTTCATGTGGGACCGAGATACATGAAATTTTGAATGGCTATAAAAGCGTGGAGCCAGATGAAAATTACTTGTACTAACATTTTAAAGTCGACTTCAACCCTAAACAAACCAGGTTATTTTGGCCCATCTCACAGCTGGGAGGGGATTCCCCCAATTACTCAGCTGTGCCTTTGCTCAATTTTTTTTTCACTTGGCTTTCGCGTAGAGACATTCCTTAGGCCTATCATTACAAATGTTAAGTTTGAACTCAATCACGGGTATGGTTTTGTTGGTAGAGTCTTTGAAGTTCAAGGCTACATGCGTGGCAGCCTGTGTGTATGAGCACCACAGTGGAAAAAGTATACATTTTTGGCTGACCCGTCTTGGACAAATGCTCATTGCACAAGAACAGTATGGCCTATTTTCACAAAACTAGTGTCAACTGACCACAAAGAGTTACTCTAAAAACTCCTAAGGGCTTAAAACCTGAAAAAAATGCACTGTGGCAATATCAGGAAAACTGTTGAGGGGGACAGTCCCCCCCCCAGCTCTTTTAGGGTTAAAACAGTCCCTGCAAATGTTCAGTTGCTGCGCCAGCTCAAAAGCAAAGCTTTTTCCAAGTACATCATACATGTACATGCTGTAGTGTTTTCCCTGCTAAATTTTTTTAATTTTTGTTTTGAAGCGCACAATGAACTGATTAAAATGTGTCTAAAAATATGAAAAAAATTCTTACAAACTCTTAGTTGAGTGTGTAAATAGAGGTAAAGTGGGGTTTTGTAGGAGTTGTTCCACTGTGTAATGTTACATGTACCAAACCGTAAACATGGTAGACTTGAATTTTTAGTTTTTATCCTTCATAGTACCATAGAGCAAGGACAGGGAAACTTACTCGATAGCCCTATCAAAAGCTTATAGGCCTAATTTGTGAGTACACTCCAGTGCTGTAGTGTGGAGGTTTATCACCGTAGCTTGGCCGATATGGCCGATGCTGATCAATGCTGGTGATGATCAAGCCTCTACACAAACGCCAGGCTAAGGTGCTCAGCTCAGTCAGGCCTACTGGCAGTACTGCATGCTGTAATGTGCTTGATAAGTTGATTGCCCAGACTGACCTTGATTGACCTGGAATACTCAGACAACACACGTTGAAAAAACGTTACGCCTACTGATAGTCCATGTTAACACGTATTAGTAAGTGAAGCATCGCGACTACCGGTACCGGCCTCAGTTATGACTGTCTCTGTGTTGGAAACCACATGGACCGATGCGACGGCCCACGAGCGCCGCCATTTTTAAAAAGCCAGTCTATGCAAATGATTACTACTTATTATTTTTCTTTCTTTTTTTAATTTAGTATTACATTGTAGATACTCAATGTATATAAAAAGTGTAGTAAAATAAAACTTACTTTTTTCCACAGCTTTTATTAAAATAGAATTAACATATTAATGGCAGTTTAAAAAGAGGAAATAACTTTTTCACGGGATGCGGAATTTTTACAAGCAAAGATTATATAGCGCCGCGTAGCGGCGCAAGATGGGTAATTCGGCCATAAAGGTGTTATCACCAAAGGCGCCATTCAAGTGTGAACGTTCATGTGTGTGACTGCCTGTCGCAGCGCCTGCGCCTGAGCATTAACATGCACTGCGCAATCGTAGTCCAACCAGAATGGCGCCTATGTGATAACAACGTTTTACGCGTATTCATGGTGAAGTTCCCCATCTGGCGCCGCTACGCGGCGCTATACGATCTTCGGGTACAAGTGTGATATCGTCTTTCATGTGTTGAACTCTGTGTGACTGTGAAACATACGGCAGGTCCACTGTGGAGTAGTTGTCAGGTTGTGCGGTATTCTGAGTGAGACGACTTTTCATGCTTTTTAGGGAACCACAGAAGTGGGGAATTGCTACATCATAGGCCTATCTTGTAATTAACATAAACATGGCCAAATGCCACTCCATTATGTCCATATGCTGTGCTTGTGCAGGTGTGGCTGTGTGTTTCAACATGACATGTAGACTTGGTAGCCTAGGCGTACATTAGTGATCAAGGTAGTGCATGACGATATGGCAGAGTAGTAATGACTCGAGTCAGTGACTCGACTGAAGTTTGACTTGAGTCACAATCTTTGGCAACTTGACTTGATTCTCGACAGATAAATGACTCAACTCGACTCAAAGCTCTGCAAGGAAATGACTCGACTTGAATCTCTCATGGAGACTCGACTCGAGTACAAGCTTATGTCTTGAGTCTCAAAAAATTAAAAGCAGAAGTTTAGCTGGCTAGATTATAGATACCTGTCACCCTAATTTATTTTCAGTATATATAAAGGAAATAAAAATACCAAAAAATGACTTACGCGTAGTTGTGTTTTTATTGTATTTTGTTCTTACATTTATGACTCAAATTACTCAAGCTCGGTACTTGACTCAACTTGACAAAGTAACTCGACTCGAGTCACAATGTCAAAATGGCTCGATTCACGCCACCAAATTTAGTGACTCGTTACAACACTGCCACATGGCCTTCATGTACATTTATCTAATGATAAATCAGCATTGTCAATCATAATGTAAAATGAAAACTGGCATCCAACCAGCAATCTGGGCTAAGCTAAACCTCAAAGCAGCCAGTGAAGCTGTATTGGCCTATTCATACTGGTAACTTGTACATGTATGATGACACGGATGAGCAGGAACTGTGAACCTGTACCAATGTGACTTACATCAAATGCTTTTGCTTTTGTACAGGCAAATGAGCAGGTAAGAGTTCCATATATGGACATCATTAATTTCCCTTGCAGTGGTTTACTAGCCATCAGAAAGTGATCACATGTCCTAAAAAAGTCAAATTTAGCAAGGAAAGTATTTAAGCATTGACTTAGAAAACATTTTTTTCCGGCCAGGCCCAGCAGGGTGTCAAGTGATGTCCGTCTATGGAACTCTCCCCTTTGTTTGTTTTGGTTGACACAAGGAAACTCCTAAGCTTTCAATCAATATATCCATGAGTTAAAATGGAAGCACTCAGGGCCAGTACTTTGAGCAAATGTGGTTAATAAACAATTTTTTTATGGCTTCACTTTAAAAATTATGTGTGACTAAAATCCATGTACTTACATGTACTGCGATTTTGGATTTTTTTCCTCTTGAAAAAAATCCACAGTAGTGTGATCAGAACCTGATCCAATCCAACGTCAGTGTCTGAAAGGATTAAACATGGTTCAGTCAGATTTAGATTTGGATTGATACTCTAAAATGTTGGATTAGATCAGACTAGATCAGATTAGATCCCCTAACAAAACACATCTTTGTTTTCCGTTTGTCTAAAACACATGAACTTGTGTTCCATCGCAAGTAAATTGTTATCAAATCTGGCAGTGGTAAGTTTTTTGTTGAACGTTTTCTATTTATGTTGCTCCACAAGGCCATTGGACTGGAATCAGCTGAGGCTTTCAAATTCGGATTGGACTCAGATGTTCACCTTGGGCTGTCAGAACAGATGCAACATTTTCAGTCTGATCTGATACACATATTTATTTGAGAGTAAGTGAGTAATGGATTACATAAACATACGACGCAGTTTTAAACTGTTCTATTGCCAATTTTGGGATCTGCTTAGAAGGAACCCTTGATCTCAGATTTAGTTTTGTGCATATTAGCTGGTGGACCAAGCACTCACTCCAGAACAGGTATTTTAATAACCACACGTGGAGATGCCACTTTTCCGGTTTTATCCGAATGTCTGGAAGGTTTTTTTAAGCAGACCCCTGAAATTCTGTGTTTTTGTTTTGTTTTTTGTAGTCCCTTCTGGCTCAAAAGAAAAGGCCGGAAAAGAAAACACAAACAGAAATGTGTTTATTTTCAACTTTGTGCATCTTAAGTTTAATGATGGTCGCGCACGGCGTGCACATGTGTAGCTCTGTCCCTGTAGTAGCCTTGAAGACAAGGCTGCTGAACTTGCATGCAATGCAGCACTCAGTGCTTGCGCCTGCATGCCATTATGCTGCATGCACTGTATGCCGGCCGTTAGTGTGCCAAGTACATTTAATGCACGGCCCTTGAATTCAAGACTATCATGTCAGTCAGTGGTTCCAATCGCTGTGATTGTTTGAATGGGAATATTGTACATAAGCTGGAAACCAAGTACACGTACGTGATGATCGTGGACTTGTGTTTCACCATCATCGTGGCCATCGATCGACAGAAGAGCTGTCGATCGATGTCTGCAATGTAACTGTGCATGGTCTGGAGTAAAAAAAAAATCATATGTCATGCGACAGATTTTGTCAAAATATGGAAAAATTGAAAATTTAAGAAAAACAAACAACTTAAAACACATTGAATCAAAGACGGAAAGTAAGTGGAATCAGACACGGCGTTAAGAGAAGAGAACCCTGATGGTCATGCAGTCCACTCTCTACGCCTGTTCTTGTGCTTCGATGCTATTTGCCGTGATCAAAAAAGTTACCTTTTTTTTTCGCAGACCCTGTGACATTTTTGCACACATGTACTTGATGTAGGTTTGGCTGGAGTTCCATATCCATTCATCATGTACTTGCTACCAAATAACATATTTACTCTCACTTTATGCATACACCATTGAAGGTAGGTCCATTCAGCTCAAGAAAACTTAATTGGCATTGTTGGCAGAATTTCTCTTTTTGTTGGGATTTGTGAAAATCGAAAATTTTTGGAGGTTCGGAGCATCTTGAAACCAACAATTACTGAAAGGGACACCTGTTAACTTTAGAAGGTTTTTTTTTCAACCTTGCCTTATTATTGTGCTAGGATGGGCTCTCTTTGCTTGTAGCCAAGGCAGTGCCTTTAACTGATTACCTTGCATTCATATATACCTCAGACAGTCTCCCTATTCAACAACGTGCAACTTGACTGTGTATTAAGTTTTGATAAAGCCCGCTGAGAAGTGATAAGGCCGCTGCGTTAATCACAGCGCCGGGATGCCACACACAGTTTAATTGATTCTGATTGGTCAAGAGTCTGTTTGCACTGTGCACGCAGCTCAGCACATGCGCACCAAGTCCACATAAGGAGATTCTATTGGATAACTTGCACAAGGGATATACCATAAAATGGACGGGGATGTGAGGGAAAGTGAAAACAAATTCTAGAACAAAATCGTTAGAAAATCATCATCTGTTGACTACTTTTAACTCTTTGACTAAAAAGGTATTTATGAATGGGAATAAATATGTGCTTGACCAGTCTTAAAGACAGGATCAAGAGACTGAACGCTGATAACGCCCTCACCTGCGGCCCAGGCATTAGTCATGTCCTATCTCCTGAGCCTCTCTTAAACGCTCGTTCGAGACCAGTCAAGCACATATTTATTCCATTATTAATTTATTTCCGCAGAGAAAACTGCCCACATAAAGGAGAAGTCAGACTGCCGCCCACCTCCTGATGCACCACTTTCGTTAGCAAGCTGTTCAAAAACGATACAGACAGCCACTTGAGTTTGGTGACATTGGTCTTACCTGAACCTCAAACACTGCTACTGATGCAGTACACAAATGCCAATGCGCGGACCATGGACTGTACACGTGTACATATATACACGTACTGATTAGACTGTACTGTACAATTTTACGCTGAATATTCATCAAGATGGACAAGTCAAGTAGCAGTACTATGCCAGACACAGCCTTGTTTGGAACAGAGGCCCATCAATTGAAGCTCGGACGAAGCTTTGATCGAGACAAGCACAGGGCCTTCCATACAATACGCTGTAAGTGCTTCTTTAATTGATGTGTTAATCTTGCATTAATTAACCCCTCTACTTGTTTGTAGATCTTTCAAAATCCACCCTGATCTTTTGAATAGTGTCGCAAGGGAGTAGGGAGGCAAGTGGAATCTCCTTTCCCCTTCCCTCCTCCCCCAGACTTTGAGAATACAAACTGGTAGTCTCTCAGAACCGGTGTTGCGCATATCTGGGCATACCAGTTTGATTTTGGACAAAGTAATTTGACTAGATGAACTATTGTCTACAATATTACGTTACCATTTACAATTTTAAATTCTCCAGTAGAACATTTGTCACCTTTTTAATTCTTCAGAGCACTCTGTGCATATTTGTTCATGCAGTTCATGCTCCAGTGTAACAGCTTTTGCTTACATGTATGTATGTACATGTATGTTCACTCATGCGCTGTATGTTCTTCCCATATTTGAGCAAGCTATGTATGAGCATCAGACAGTTTGCCATCAAAGAAGTTGATAAACGGTATCTTCTTTTTGTGTTTTGTATACACAGATGACTTCAAACCCAAATCAGTGGACCATTCTAAGGAAGCAGTACTTGAGGTTGGCGAGGGAAATGAAGTCACCATTACCTTGCCTAATGTAGAGGTAACATGTGTCCATTAATGTTCACGATAGATCTCTGTTACATACCGCCCAAAGTTTAATGGAGTTTCGAGCTGAAGACTGTATTGAAATGGAGTCCATTACAAGTCTAGTAACAAGTCCTTTTACAAGTCCAGTCAAAAGTAACAGCCTGAACAATAACAAAGGAGAGCTTTTGTCTCAGTTCATTGAAATAGCTTGTGACTTTACCTAAGACTGGATGACTTGTGATGGACTTATGATGGACTTGCAATTATGATACTGGCTAAATATAGCTGTGAAAAGGGCATTTCATTGTTTTTGCTCATCCTTTGTTACTCAATAAAGGGTTTATGATGTGTTTTGGTTTGAACTTACTGCTCGCCTTGACCCATGATTCTGTTGCAGATAATTTGTTGATGTGAGAAATATACAATGTCTGCAGTAAGATGCAATTATGTTTTGTGTTTGGGTGGCTTAGAAACAGGGACAGGGTTTCTTGCATAGTTCAGGGTAAAAGTTAGTGTGGCTTTTTGGAGTTGCTGCATTGCAGCTCGGGCGACACAAATTAATTGGAATCAGCTCTTAGTTTGTTAAGAGTGGCAGTTCTGTTTATAATCAACTGCAAACTACGAGGCAGAAAGATTTATCTGGAAAACTTCAATGATAGTTATTTATATCACTGTTGGAAGGGGAATCAGCTTTGCAGGTCCGTTGGGGAAAACATCAACTAGCTCCTCATACAGGGAGCTTCATTGCATTTCAAAGCACTGTGGCTTAGTAGGAAAGCAGTTTTTTTCTCAGAAATATCAAATCTTTGAGCTCTTGTCAGACTCAGCCCATTTGTAAATTTATCAGTCACTGTCTGGTAAAGGCCTGTGTACTAATAATGTCTTGCTTCCCTCACGTGTGCATTTTCTGTTGAGCCAGTGGTGCCCACAGTCCACTGAGCACCACAGAAGGCAGTTAATCACACACTTAATCAAAACTGTGACCTCATCACATAAGTCTATTGATTCTCTTGGAACTAAAAATAGAACACAAATTAGAGTCCCATTTTGATTCAAGTTGGGAAACAGCTTTGTTCTAAAGCAGAGTTCATCAAGTCTTCTGTACGTATGTTGGTACATATGTGTACAAAAAATGGACCATGAAAACCCTTTTGACGGTTTCATTTATGTCTTCTTGTCTTCAAGGAAGGAGGAGATTCTTCCAACCAGGTGTCCTATTTCATGCATGTCTGTTAGCTCGCTCTTTCATTTGGATTCCAGAGTAAAGGGACAATGTGCACTAAGTTCAAGGGTTCCAAGAGGCCACTACAGAAGGAATGTGTCCTGATCTATGACCACAGGACAGGAGAGTTTACCCTGGAAAGATTGACCTGTAATGTTCAGGTCAAAAAGCAAAGGTCAGTAGCTGATACCAACATGTTTGGACATTTTTTTCCCCAGAACGTTGTTTGTCACACATGGTTCAAAGTGATACGCGTTCATGTGTTCCATCCATTCAGTTGACTGAGAAAATTCTATTGCATAATGAATCATTTTTAGACAAAATGAATGTCGGGGATGATGTGATGACCTCAGTTCCTGATTGACTACAGCCGTGTGCTTTTATTCATGTACAGTCATTCTCAACTTACAGCCCTGGTTAAGTTAACCTTGACAGTTTTCCTTGGGCAGCATTCATCAGGTTATCTGCTCATTCAGATTTGATCAATTGCCTTGGAGGAAAGTCTCATAGCCTATCTGCAGTGGACTTCAAGTGATCAAGTCTCCCGAGTGCTCAAGGACAATAGCTTCAGCCTCTGCCAAAGTCCCATGCCAACCTTTAAATGTACCGGTAATACCGTATTCATTATTTGCATGTTCTCTTGTGTACAGGGAAGAAGGCACAAGTAAAGCTCAGCATAGTCGCTCACTGGCTACCATGGACTCCTCAGCTAACCTGAAGAACTCACCCAGCTTGACATCAACAAGCTCAAAGAGTAAGAGAGTAGACATGTCCTCAACAAACTCAGTACTTTCAGCACCAGACATTGAGCAAGGTACGGTAGCACATGTAGTATTGTCACTTTAATGCAAATAAAATAGTGTCCCGGCCCCCTTACCAACCTTGGCTACTCATCTTTGTATATATGTACACCACATGACATTCAAGCTGGAAACCAAGATTTACTAAGCAAATCGTGTACCATGCTAAGCACAGTGTTTCGTGTTCTTTAGCTTTATCTCTGTCACATCCGTAATCCTGAGGTGCAAACATGTAGCAACTCATCATAAAACTATTTTGTGGATATATTTTCCACTTCCAAAAAAGTGTGCTGAAACATTCCGTGAAACTATGCCTGTATTTCCCCTCCCCAAGCTGGTGAGATCTCTCCTCTTCAGCCCTCCCCTCTTGCCCCATCACCCCACACCCCACCCTCTCACCAAGCAGTTTATCACCACGACGACTCAGACTCATCCAGCAGCTACATCACGGACAGTGACAGTGATGATGATAACGACAAGAAGAGCAGTAGCAGCGGCAGTTCCAGTGATGAGGACGAGAAAGACAGTCAAGCAATGAGGAACGGAAGCCTGCATGCCAGGCACTCCCATAGCAGTAAGTTATAGCATAGAGGAAGGACAGAGGAGTTTGAACCGCCCAAGCCCTAACATCTGGCCAATTACCGCTGGCCATAGCCAGAGCGCAGCAGATGCCTACTTCACACCATCTGTTTCACGTCCACAAAACCCCTTTATACCCTATGATCGCCGCCACAATTTTTCGCTGGTAATCTGCATCCTTAAAACTTTGTGTACTGAGGTATTGGAAACTGAATATTCATGCCTTTGTTGGTGCTTGGTATGATCTCATAACAACATCGAATTTTGTGCTTGCGCAGTTGTTTGCATTACGCCATGTGCCCTAAATGTACATGTGCAGTTATTGCCCTTAATGAACGCTTTCTTCTGGAGTTATTTTGGGAATAAAAAGCCTGGTTGTTTTTCAAGATTTTGTGTTTTGTTTGAAAAATTTTTATGATGGCATTTGCACAAAAGCATATTTTATGAGATTTCATGATCACTCCCTGTGATGAAATAGCACATTTTTTTCCTTATGAACTCAGCTTTCCAGTAGTATTTAACATTTTGTTGGCCAGTCGTAGCCAAATTTGTACCAGTTTTTTGAACACTGATGTATTTGGAGGGAGGAGAATATAATCACAAACTTTGCATGGATAATGGAACTGTGTATTGACATTGGAAAAGTTTATTCATGATGGCAAAAGTAGGTCTAATATCAGATTTTGCTTTATTTCCTGGTCAAAACAATAATTTGTATTTAATTGCAAGCAAAACACTACTGTACAAATATTGCTAGGATATTACTGGCCCCGCTTGTCCGTCTAATCTGTAGCCAGTAATCAGGCCTTTTTGGAATGTTTTCTACTATTTATCTGACTCGGCAGTGATGATCATTGAACACTTTGAAGTGCCAGAGTTGTAATTCCTTCTGTGTCCTTCCTCTTGGTTATAGTGATACATGTATATCAAGTCTAAAGGTCTGTGAAAGGCTAACATCAGTCTTGAGCTGTGATCAAGTTATCACAAGTTGAAGTTGGCTCATACTTAGCACAAAGCCAGATAGTGTAATAAGATGGCAAGCTTTTGATCAGAGAACTTACAAACGTTGAACACAATTAAAGCGATCCACACACTTAAGTCACTCTTCAGGGTTTTTCTTTGATATATTTCATAGCAAAATAAAATTACAGGCATCACGTCTTTTCATGTTTGGAATTCCATAACTTTAAAATCAAAGGTTGCATCACCCCATGGTTTGCATTGTAGTGAAGTTGACGTGATGTTCTCTTCCAGTGTACATAAACCCATAAACTGACTAGAGTTGACAGAAGACGTCTTTTGCTAGACTTGACTGTATCACATATTTGAATTCTAGCAAGTTTCACAATAAATGCTCCATGATAACATATATGTACTTCCTTTTCACATGTATATGACGTGTAAACAAACCAACCCTTGCAAGTCATACACAATGAATCAAATCAACTACAATCAAGGCATCTCGGTCCTTGTACGTTTCATTCATTCGTTTTTTTATTTGAAACGAATATTAAACAACCAATAAACAAGTCATTTTCCATTCTTCGATTTGAAAACAAAAATCAGAAATTATAAGAATTTGTTGTTTTCTGTTTTTGACGTGAAAACGAAAACTGAGGAAAAAAGACGAAGAAGTCATTTCATGTTTTTCATGTTGAAAATGAAAGTAATTTTGTTTAAAATTTTGGTTTAATCCCCATTTCGTTTGACTGCACACATAATTTCAAGGAGGTGTCACAGGCATCTCTGAGCACCTGTAAAAGGAAAGTTGCCTTTGAGAATGCAAGAAATTTGAGTTGCTCCTTTTACAGTAGAAGCAACATATCACTCGTATTCCTTTAGTTCAGCCATGATTTATTTGTTTGGTTACAAAGACTGTTCCTTACTTTACAAAATAAAAAATGGAACTGTTTTGCATTCTTTAAAAAGGTAGATCAGTATGTGACGATGTTATTCGTTTTCACATTGAAAAACAAAAAAGGGCATAATTGTCATTTCTCGTTTTTAAATGAAAGACGAGAAACGACTCGCTTCTCTTGTGTTCAATTTTCTGGTTTTTAATAAAAACTAGAAAAATAACTCATTTTTTCATTTCCGTTTTTAAATCGAAAAACAAAATCAACAAAACGTACCCATTTCTGTGTCATTATTCATCCCTTGTGACTTTCGAAATGACTTGTAATTGACTTGTGATAGACTCAAGTACACAGCTGACTTTTCTTGGTCATGCACAGGGGCAAGAAAATAAGTTTCATGTGAGCATAAAAACAAAAAGGTACTGAAATATCTACAGAGCTTCATTACTGAAAATTGTCGTAAACTATTCATTCAAATGCACCTTAAGGAATCCCTCCAAAAGTTCTATTCCATGCGTCCTTTGTCAGCTCACTGTTTGAGGATCTTTGGCCCGGCAACTGGAGATCAGAGACAATTTTCTTGTCATGGTTTGACATTGATGGAATCATTGGGAGTATAGACAGTGTTCCCTGTTACATTTTACGTGGTGATAAACGTGCTCATTGTTGGCAAAACAGGCAGCCTTGATTCACCTGCCTCATAGTGACAATCACAGTACACCAAACTTACAACTTTATTTTATGTTATTGAGTGTATTGATATTCAAATATAAAGTCAAAGTTGGTGTGATTTACTCTGAGAAAGTTGGCACTAAGAACATGTAATCAAACACAATTTAGTAAATATTTATCACATCATCTGTTGATCGATTTTAATGGTTATTATAATGATTTTAATGATTATTTTAATGGTTACTTGTTTCTTAGGATTTGAATAAACATATTGTGTTCCTTAACTTGTTAACAGGAAGCTGGAGACCACAGGCCAAACAAGACAGTCCACCCAGAGGCCTGGCAACGAGTCAGGAGACTGCGCAGTATCTAAGGAGTCAACTCAGTAAGTACCTCAGTTTTAGAAGAATTTGGCTTATGACTGCACATCTGTCTTTGTACATGTTCTTCTAGAGACCATACTTTTTAGAGTCATATGCTGGTAGAAATGATTTTACAGGCTGTTTTGAGATGTCATTGTTCCTTTGCTCTTTGACTCGAGACTGTGTGGCTTACAGCTGAAAAAATATATAAAAAATAGACCGTTTTGCCATTTCGAGTTCACTTGTAATGGCTCACCGTTCGGTAGAGACCATTAAAGACTTTGTTTGCAAAATTGATCTTTTCATGCCCTTTATGCTTTTTTTTTTTAAACCCATAGTTTATGATGCTAATTGAGCGCTTCACATTGAAAAGCATGGCTCGGAATACTCGTGTTTGTTTCTCATTTCTTGTTCTTCTTTTCTTTCTTTTGGCGCTTGTCTTGACGTGCTGCGTACAGGCAAGACACTTGAAATTCAGCAAAAGGCAATGTTCCAAACCACACCAGATTATGTAGTGTTTTCATTTATAATTACATGCGTAAGCAATGAAAAGAGAAAATTCAGTTCATGGAAAAGTAACATGCCTGTACATTGTACGTACTTTCACTTTACAGTCTCACACACACAACAGATCCGTTCATTTTAATGTGATGTTCTCCTTACTGCTCTTTCTAGGTCAAGACTTGCAGCTGACTGATGAATCGGATTCTGACAGTGACTAGCGTAATGTTATCAATCAATTCCATGCCCAGCATTCTCAGCAAGCCAGTAGTGATGACAGTCTCATCCACTGGTGAAAGAACCAAGATGGCTTCCTGCCTGAGGGTGGCAAAATGAAATTCCACTTCATTAGTTCTTGATCTTGGATGTTGTCCACTTTAAGCTTGGTTCGAGTACTCTCTTTTTGCAGGGTTTCCGCCAGATATTTGCCACTTGATGTGCAAGCGAAAGTCAATGAAACTGTGTAATGTAGATACACTCTTTCTTTGTAAGAGATAAACATGACCAAGTTATCGTTTGTGTTTATATGGGCGTGCCATATAAGAGGACAACCGTGTATAAGACATAATCACACAAGGGGCACCGGCGGATTTTGTGACATAATGTATGTATTTGGATTTCCAAAAGTTGCAAATGTACAGACAAGGTTTAATATAAACCCAAAACAAATGATTGTTTACTTACTCATGAGAATTTTGAATGTAACCTTATGAGCACTTTCATGGGCCTTCTAAATCTGCTCAAATTGAGCACTGCCTAGTTCCCCAGTTTCCTTTGTACAAATACAGTGACCTCAGTTACTGCTCATCAGCAATACAGCCAATGTTGATACATAGATAGGTCCAGAATTGATCTACCCAGCCCACCGTGGATGGATGAGCGGTAAAATGTCTTTACAAGTAGGCAGGAAGTGGGTTGGTGTCCCACCTGAGAATGTCTGTTGGGCTTTTGCAAGCCTTTGGACAACAATGTGTATACAGTGTTTATAGAAACATGATAGTTCAGAGTAAAGTACTCAATATGGTTTTTTTTTAAGACCTGGTCCAGAATATAGTCGATTAGTCCCACCAGTGTTCCCTGAGAGAGGGTGTACTCAGACTATGGTTAACCACTACTCAAACATGCCCTTTACCATTGAATCTGGTTGACCTCTGCGCACTTATCCGTCAGTCTTTTCAGTCTGGTCTAAATTCTCTGTGTATTTCAAGTTGGTGTTGTTGAACATGCTTGGTTGCAGAGCAGACAAAACAAACCGGAATCGCCCTTATTAACAATTGGCCATAGGGTTTTAAAAAATCATGGCACATACACACTGTGTGAAAAAAGGGAACATCTGTGTAAAGTGGCCTTTCTAACCCTGAAAGTGCTTGAATGTCATGATGACTGCACATCACTAGAGCAATCAGATTGTAGTCTGTCAGCATCTGCAATTCCTGTGCCCTGTACTTATCTTTAGTGAATAGGTTTCCTTTGTGCATTCTTAAGACCGAAGATATCTGAAATTTGTGTAATTTATTAAGTTTGTAGTATAAGTTGTCATGAGATATATGTAGGATTTATATTTAGGTGCTTTTCAGGGTGTTTTATCTTGGAGCTATGAAAATGTACCTGTATGTCATTTTAACCTGAAAATTAAAATCACTGTTGCACTGTCATGTGATCATTGGGTCAAATCAGGATGACTAACAAAAATCATTCAAAACACTCATCTTTGATTTTAAAAATTCTATTACTAAAAACTGACCAGCTTTTGACATTGTTCATCGTAATTCATCACAACAGCTCTGTTAGATAAGCCAGTCTGACAGGTATTTGGCCAAAAATGTTCTTAAGTCCAAGTGGCGTTTGACTCATTTGTGAGTTGGAATTAGACATTCTCTCTGATAAACTCTGCTCCTAGATGTCGCCTTGAGTTTTATTAAAGGAACCTGTAAACAGGAAACAGGCAAACTTTAATTGTATCAGTGCCATTCTGTATGATTAGGATGCTGTACACTGAAGCCAACTATTTGGAGAGAGACGAGATCTTTCATGTTAAAATACCGGTATTGTGGTCTATAGTAGAGTTAACCCCATCTCTTTTTCAAATTTTTTTTTCTTACAAAAGGACACAAAATTACCTTTGGATTATCTCTACAAACTGTCAGCGATTCATTTGATTGTTTACACTGTTTTTCTTTCTTTTCTCTCTATCTACATAGGTTTAATGGGGTATATTTTACTTTCAATTGTAGAATCTACATGCAATCATATTGTATATAATTACTGGTGCTTTCATAAAGTACCTGATGAAACTTCAGTCATTTTTGTCTATATATGTTTCTGTCTTTTCCCTTTTCTGATATTAAAAAATGGCAATAGTCAATATGGTTTTGATCTCGTGTAAGTTCAAGTGCTTTCTTCCAGAGTGAGACATTTTGTTCTAATCACCTTGGAATCAGTAGCGGATATTCTCGACGACAGAAGATATTGTCCCAAGATGCACTTGAAGTATTGGCAGATAGAGGGGCCAAAAGGGGGACATAACAAAAGGCGATTTCTGGGACCATTAAGTTGTCCTTCCTTCCCAAAGTGTCTTTAAGGCCCCAAATTTAACCTCACCCCTCAAAAAGGCATCCTCTTTTCCCCTACCCCCAGAACCAAAAGTCTAGTTCTTGATCCACAATATTCCTTGGATTCAAAGGGCATAAACTTTATGAAATTTACTAATGTACTTTGAAAATGGTATTCCTTCACGGATTAGGATACTTGAATCTGGTGGACAAAATGATCAACACACCTCATTGGCGGAAACAAGGGCCCTTCATTAACATGACTTACCCAAAATAGATTATTTGTGGCTACGTGTATACAAGTTTGTATATCGGTGATGTCCCAAATGCTCAAAGTGCGAATAGAAAATTGAATAATAAACTGACCACGATTTTCATCGACCAGGTTTTCCTGTTGAAAATCGGAAATGTATTCAAAAACTGCTACATAGTCATTCTAATGTTCCTGTTTTCTTGACTTTCAGTTTAGTTTTTTTATGTTAACATATTAACATTAGATATTGCGTCATTAATTGAAACATTCCCAGACATTAAAATATGATGTTAACATATCAAAATTAGAACGTGCAATCAATTTTAGCACTTTGTGAATTCAAAGTGCGCGTGCACGTCATAGACAAAAAGTATTAGTGCAATTATCATAGCAATAAAGAAAAAGGCTTTTTATAAGCCAGTTTCGCGCACAGTTCGTGTTTAAGATTGGGCTTTTCATTGTCATCTGATGAACGTTGTGTGAACGTCTTCAGTTCCGTCATGTTCACCAAAACTTCAGTTTTGCATGATGTGTGCCCATTCGGTTTGGAGGAAAGGGTGTGCAATTTCGTTACTTGTAAAATTACGCAAGCGAACTTGTTAGCAGGGCAAACAAAAGAAAACCTCGATACATGTAGTGTATAGCATCACAATATTCCAAAGGAGTAATGTATAACATCACTGCGGAATTTAGTGCAATGCCGTCATTCGATAAGCATAATGAATGTGCAAATGTTGATCAAAACCGTCCAGTTGTTGCGTTTGAGCATGGTGCAGACTAATATGAAACTTTTCAACACTAGCTTTTAAGTTATCAGTCTTTCTGATATGATATGGGCATTGCCAGGAAGAGACACATGTAAGGGGGCGGGGCAAAGCACTCAGTAGTAACACACAGACCAAAAGTCAGAGACGGGGTGGGGGTAGCTAAATCGTCAGATATTTTCATAAATACCAGCATTTCTGCTTCCCTTCATCTTTTTTCTTTCCTACTTGTATTTAAATTTCCCTCTTTTTTTCAGGAACATTTGACCCTTTGTTCCCGCTCACCCATGCCATGCTTCTCAAGAAAATCTGTTGCTGACTTTCAGAAATGGAGGACCAATTCAGTCACGCTGTTTGTTTTTGTTTTTGTTTTGTTTTGTTTTGTTTTGTTTGTATCATTAGTTGCGCTTTTTTGTTTCTAATTCACTCAATGATTTAATAATGATTCGGGCTTTTCCAGTCTAATTTGCATTATACTGTGGCAAGCGAGGTGCCTTTTTCACCGCACTGCGTGCACATAGTAGTAGTTCATATCTACAACCAAATCAGCCTTTTAGGTGGTACATGCATCAGGGGCAGACCCAGAAATTTTCCCGGGGGGGGGGGACTAGGTCCATCAGATTTGGACACACGGGTTACATTGTCATGTGCCTGCAGGGTGCCATCCTTGATAGTAAAATATATGTCCTGTTTTGTGGTGACAGGATCGACATCCATCCCCACCAGCACCAAGCCTGTGTGTTTGCTTTTGCCGTGGTGCTTTTGCTTTTGCCGTGACAGTTGTGGGCCACCGTAAAATACTGATGACGAAATAAGTACATGTAACTGGTGATAATTGTATTTCGTTATCGTCAGGGGTGATAACCCTTATTCAGGGGAGACACCAGGAATTTTTCCTGGGGGGGTCATGTCAGGCTTTTTTTAATATCCCATTTTGTGGAACAAGCAGAAATGATGATTTACATGACATACTCTTTTTTACAATAATATTGGTGCACTTACCGTTTTACACTGTGGTTATTTTTTTTATTACTTTCCCCATTTTTAAACTTTCTGTTGGTCTTAGAGCGGGCTTGGGGTTGGGTTTGACCTCCCTCCGGATCCGCGCCTGCTATTTGTTCAGTTGAGGATAGGCCTACGTACAGTACATGTACATGCAGCTCTCCCTCTCTATTGCGTCTTCCACCATCAAGACCTGACTGCAATTATTCCTCCGTGCTGCAATGAACCTCATGCCTCTGCAGCCCAATAACCCTTGTCAAAACTGGTTGTCCTGATTCTAGCCCCTCCTTGAGTGTCCCTATTTTGACATCTGTCCCACTTGTGTCCCCCTTGTTCTCCTTGAATGTTGCTTTTTACACGTGAGCCTGCAAAGTAGCTCCACCCCCCCCCCCCCATGCGTTATCAAGTTGCATTCCGTAACACACGCCTCCTTAAGTTTTGGGAAGTAAACGACTTGTCGGCAGCAGAGGGCGTTAACAGTTGCCTCGGAAATCGGGTCTACTAAAATCCAGTGTGATAAATCCCGTACTGTCTGGCTGCGGACCCTAAGCATTATGTGTATGAAATCAGAAGACAAGGTTGGTTACGGAAGAGCGCACCTTTCGCCGTGCGCGAATGACACAGCGCAGCATATATCATATGGCACGGTGAGTGCATATCGCTTCTCGTCGACGTCGTTGTAAATATGTATTGATATGTAGCCAGTGGGCGGAAGCGTGGCGCCGTAGGCTACATGTTCAGGATTTCGTCCAGAATTTAGTAAATGGTATTTCATTTGGTAAGTTCAAGTCCGAGTAATTAAAAAAACCTTTTTTGACAAACGATGGAGACCCAAGAATAGTTGGGATTAAATATATGAATCACGATGGAGCCTAGTTTGTAGGCGTAGTCCGGCGGCCTGGCCTCACTTGTGCGCGTGGTGTGTTACTGTGTGTGGCCAATTCTCGCCGTAGCCTGGTATTAGTAAACTAGTATCCGCCGACACGGAAATGACGCTCGTAAATTTTTATGTTTTGCCAAGGTTGAAGCACAGACCCCAGTTAGTCAAAAAAGCGAGTCACCCACTCACCCATTCACAGGCAAATTAATATGGAACCAAGTTGTTGCTGTTTATCGTGTTTGTTTTGTTTTGACTTCCACCATGTCGACGTCCACCATGAGCATGATGAACAGTAGTTAGTACAACCTGTGCATCCCTGATTATTAATGAAGGCCTGCCCCTATGTTACTCATCTTTATTTGGGAGTAGACACCTCAGAAGTTCTGGTGCAGGTGTTGATAAAAAAATATTGAAAGTTAAATGAACTGTTGTAAACTCTGCATTCAATGTTCTCAGGTAAGAGTTTTGTGCTTTGTTGATAACAGATTAACAGGTTGAGAGAAGAGTTCTGTTCATGATTGCCTCTTTCCTCCTTTTCTGGAATTTTCTATAAGGTTCAACATGTTCAAAGGGGGTGATACCATTTGGCATCTTTGAGGGGGTCCACTGAGCACAGTATTCAAATATGTGCTCTCTGGCGTTTAGTTATGTACATATAGGCCGACATCATACATGAACTTGGCATTGGTACACCCTCTCACTCTACCAGTGTGAACCTTCCTCTTTCCAAATCTACAGTACAGTGTGTGGGTTTAGCAGGATCTTGGAGACTTTATGTTAATAAGGGAATAAATTTGTGCACTGTAAGACTGGCTCAGGAGAATGGATGCGACTACGGCTCGGGCATTATCAGCGTTCATTAAATCTGTCATTAAATTTATCATTAAAATTACAATGTAGCATCATTTAATTTCATTAAATGCACGTTTAAGACTGGCCAAGCTCATATTCATTCCCTTATTTAATACATGACCTGTACATGTACCAGTAGGTCATATTCATATATATTTACAAACAAGCAATGAATGATTGTGTTGCTGTTGAAATTTACATAGTTTTAAAGTACGCTGCAAAAGTGCATTTAGCAAAGTCAAGGTTCTGAAGGAGTTTCCTGTAAATGTAGTGACCATCAACCATGGAGGTTAAACATCCTCTTTATGCATACATGAATGTGCATGGACAACCATACTTCTCCACTGCTTCTTCTGTATAAGTTTGCACAATCAGTAAACCACACACGTACACGTACAACCCCCACAGATTTCCTACTAGTGATAAGAATGAATCGTACCACAGTTCAGGTAGTAGCAACCACATTTACCACAATGAGAAGGCATTACTAAAATCCTGCTGTGGGTCATGTGTTTTTCATCCACGCAGGTGCTCAATGCTTGTACCATCAGCTGAAAAGACTGGTTAAGAGAGACTCATGATAGTGGAATTTTATGCCCAGAAGATTGCTGTAAATATTAATGTTGGCTTTTGTCTTAAACCATCACGTACCTACATGTACCAAGTTCACTGTAGTCAGCATTGTAACAAGAGCTTGTTGAAAAAAAGTGGCAGTGTGACTACATCCTACATCGTCATACATGTGCACTTCACATAACGGACATTCATACAATGTACAAGTATTCTTTCAGACTGAGCAAAACAAGTTTCACACTGAAATGAAAGTTGTCCCGTGCATGTCTGGTTCACATATTTTAATCAACATACCGGTATATGTGACATTTATTCTGGTACAGTGCCAAGGGAATGTTTGCGAAAGGGGACATGGTATTATGGCACGTCTACCATCTATAGCTCCACATTGACAGTGATACATAATGCAAACCAGTTTTTCAGTTTATGAGCACATTTCATGAAACATAATATGTTTCACGTAGTACATGCACCATGTTCAGTTCACTCACACTTGTGATTTACACCATACAAATCCGTGTAGGACATGTTACAATGCAGGAAGTTTCTAATTGAGAAGGTTTGAAATGAACAGGTGCTGTTGGTCATGGTATGGTTTAACAATGTCGTTTTTGTTGTGAACACGTACAGATGAAGGTTCAACATGTACATGTACTTTGGACCCCTGGCCCCAGTCAGTGGAGACTAGACTGAGCCATGTGCCTCCTGTCACCATAAGGTATTAACCACACGTGAATGGTGTCATCCTGCAGAGAGTCCTGAGCCCCGCATCACCCCATCAGATTGAACTGCATACTGGTAGTTGATGGCTGTGATACTGCACACAATCATGGAGAAACAAGATCATGTTACATTCCCTTGGCGCCATTAGCATAATTTAACCCAACACTGACAGACACCATTCTTGTCTCCTGTACCAACACATACATAGAGAGCAGCCCACGTCTGCCTTGAGGCACACAAGATCTGGATGAGGTGTCACCTTGAATGAGCAGTGTGTTTCTTCATCATCTTTTTGTAGCAGTGTTTGCTGAACAACCATTTCAGGACAGCACAAGAACGCTCAGAATACTTCTTTTACTTATCATTCTGCACGAGCACTCCATTGAAGGCATATCATTGTCGAGTTGCGTAGCAGTTTTGTTGCGAAAGAAGTACTGTAGTTTCACATCAGTCAGTATGGAGCAACCTGTCACACAGATGGTACAAGCTAAATATGAGTATGAGTACATGTCTGGTAGTGGGTTACCAGCTAAAATGCTCCCCGGTGACCTCTTCACATTACTACGTAAGTCGAACTCCGATTGGTGGTATGTCAAGCGTGAAGGAGAAAAGAAACCAGTATATCTCCCCGCCACGTATCTAGAAATTCAGCCTGATAATGTAGTAACAGGACTAGGGAACCGGACTGCACAGCGCAGCAGCACCTTGATTCCTCATGCATACATGGACTCAGCATCAGAACAAACACAGCCAGTACCCGGCAATGTGGCTGCCTCGCAAATCCGGCACAATAACATGGTCAGTGAGATATCCGATCGGTTGCGGAATCGGATTGTCATCCCTAAGCCAGATTATGACAATTCTCAGGACCCTGTGCCCAGGCCACGTCCAACCCAGCTGAACGTTAGAGATGGCAACAGCAGACAGGGTATCCATAAGGTGGCTACACCCATAGGGGGTGCTATGTCCCCCATGACTGACAGTGAGCTATCATCGCATTCAGAGGTAAGGCATGCACTGCGTGCATAAGACACTAGACAAAAGGAGTTACATGGACATTAACTTATGTTCTACATGTAGTTGGGAGAGGGTTTGTAGTAAGTAATAAACCTCAGGTAGACATTTGACTATCCCTAAACACTTCTGATACCAGAGAGAAACCACATTTTATTTGGGAGTTTTTAAGTTTACAGTAGGCTCGTGTGAAAAGATTTGCAAAGTTTGGTTGGAATATTTTTTGTCATTTCAAAGGTGTAAAAGTTTGGACATGGGTCTATTGGAATGTCTCCCGGAGGTACATGTATCAATTAAGGGTACTTGTTATTTTGAAGGATTTCTGGTAATGTATCAGGGATTCCTCAAAAGCACCCAAGGCACTGTAGCTCAAAACTCTGAAGAAACCTGTGGAGAGGAGGCAATGAGAAGCAGTTACGGTACAATTCTTGAGGTGGGAGGAAAACCCCAGAGGAATATTCTGGGAAAAGCCCGCAGAATCAGGTAGGGACTGAAAACCCAATGTGCATGTGGACTACAATGTGGCCAGGAATTGAACCTGGGCCGCAGAGGTGAGAGGTAGGGGAAAACCACTCTGGCAACCTGACTCCTAAGGAGACAAAAAAACAAAAGAAGCTCTTCGAATCAAGGTCACATACGGTACATACATGTAACAAGTACTTTGTCAAATTCTTTTATTTGCTCAGAATACACATGTGCCATTGATACATTTACCACATTTGTTCAGGTTGCTGATTAGAAATAGGTGTGGAAGCTACTTTATTACATTCATACCTGTTCTTGTAAAGTTCAAGCACATTCATCCGCTTTGATGAATAAGGATGCTGTAAATATGTACATGTAGTTTAGAAATACATGTAGCTCTACCGGTACATGTACATGTAATTTCACTTTCTGTTTGCAAGTTTGGAAAAACAGTGAAGAATTACTGATGATGTTCACTCATTACATGTTACACATATACACATCTGATATAAATACTGATTTTTGAGTAGTTGCGTTGTAGGGTGAGTATCTTTTAGCACCTTTAAGGCAACCATGTCAGCAAAAGAGGGAACAGAAAGAGAGAATCAATCTTGTACAGTGTGTCACAAAAATCTGTCTGAAAAACTTGTCCACCAAAAATCGGTCCAAAAAGATATGGTCATTTTAGTGGTCTAATGAGATAAATGGAAACATGTGACAAGGGCAAAGTGTTCTTCTCCTCCAATGTACATGTATGTGTTAGCATTGCCAACATTCACATGCATGTCGTGTATACATGTGCTTCATGTATACACGTCATTACATTTATCACCATTGCCACTTTTGGCCAAAATATATATACATGTCCAAATAAGTGTAATTTGAAGATTGGTTTCTGAGAGTTTTTCAACTCCTGTTCAATCGTTGGTAACAGCAGTCCAGTGTGAACTCTCCAGAGTATTTCCCACCACCACCCAATGAATCGGAGCTGCGTTCCCACATCTTGAACTCCAACGTACATGTAGCGCACTCTTTATCCAGCTCCCAGCTCATGCCCAGTGCCGGCGATGAGTGGGAGATGCACCGAGATGAGAGAGGACGCAAGTACTATTACAACAACCGCACCAACGAGACTTCCTGGGACCCTCCGTCATCTGTGCAAAAGAAGCGATCATCCAGCGTCAGCCCAAGAACACGCAAGAAGGTGAGTACACCGTTTAATATGAACTCCCATAGACTTTGAACACAAAAAGGCATTGGTAACGTACACTTTCAGGATACATGCACATGTCTGTTAACCGTTTACTGCTACAATGTACGTAGACCATACATGTCATCTACATGTGCAATGTATGTACAACCAGCATGCAGAAGGCAAGCTGAAGCAGAGTGGTCTGCCAAGTTGGGTTCTCATTCTCTTTTCTACCATTTTGGTATACTTACTTGTACATGTACATATACACATGCATAGAGTTGTAAATTTATTAAGAACCAAGGGTTAGAATATATTTACAAATACAACTTATTCCAGAATTCCATCCATTCCCGTTGGAAGTGGAAAAATTGTATGCCTTAGTTACATGTACATGGATATATACATGTACACTGTATGTCTTTTCGCCATGTGCATTTTTAACCTCCCCCCATCACTTTAACATTTAACAAATGTTAACACAAGACACCACCTGCACCTGGCTACATGTACATGTACATACTGTTGGAAGTATGTATCAGTACATTGAGATTTCAAGCTGTACAAGATGTGTTTCAAAAAAGGCAGAACCAACTCCTTGTTACTATATTATTTGGACTGAATGAAAACTAATTGGAGACTTGGAGTACATTGGAATGATTATACGATCAATGTACTTTGTGCGCATGCTGAACATGTTTATAATTCATGACCTGCCGAGTTTCATAGTTACGTTGTGCAATGTAGCCCAGTTACTCAAATCGTATAATTTGTTAGTTTTTATGGGCATTCCCTTGAAGAATCGTAGATTATTGTTTCTCATTTGAGCACCAAATTCTGATTTTACTTAACTCATTTGGCTTGATTGTATGTGAACTGTTGCAACACCTTTAGGCTTTACACCTTGGACTGCTACATGTACATGAAGGTGTTTGCTGGTCCCCTAGCTAAATCCATTGACCTGTTAAACCACTTGATTGTTCAGCCTTTCTGCACACAGTTAATGCATACTCTGCCAGCATAGAACCCAGTGAGCCCAACCCTGGCTTAAATAACTCCAATTGTTACTGGCTGTGTGCTGAAGTCATTGAACTGTACCAAGGAATGACATTTTCAATTTAAGTTGCTGTACCTGGCAAAGAATGTCGTGGGGCAAACTGATAGAAACCAATGCGGTTTGTCTCCACGTCTGAGGTCAGCTTTGGTCATTAATTACATGTGTACATGTACATCATGTACCCTTTCTAGGAATACATGTACCCGTATTTGTACTTACATTTGAACCCTACTCAGTTTACATGTATCATAAAAACAAACTTTCACATTCCTGTGCTCATGGCCTGCAATCAGGGTTCTACACTCTTGAATGGTTCACCGTAGCATCCATTTTTTTGAAATTTATGAATGGTTGAAATTTTCCACTCACATTTTACATTATGTCAGCTACAGCTAAATGTAATGCCAGTCAGAAGTTACAGTATCGGCAAAGCTGGCCAGTTAAAAATGTTCAGTTATGGGTTTTGCCCCTACCTATATTCATGAACACTGTATACTCAGTGCTTGTCTAAGAGCTTACAAAAAATTCACAAGCTTACTCGGGTGGGACTCAAACCCACAACCTCCTGCTTACTAGTGCAGACGTCTTAACCACTCGACTACTGAGCTTGCCGGGGTCGGCTGGCTGGCATGAGTCAGATAGATAGCAGCAGGTACTGCAGACTTTTTCAAGATGTACTTTGGGTCGGAGAGATGTTAATTTAATAATTTTTCACAAGCCCACAGATACGCACTGAGAATACAATGTTCATGAATATATACGTCGGGTAAGGGCAAAACCCGTAATTACATTGATATTTCCCTAACACAAAGTACATCCTGTAAAAAATAAAATATGCATACATTGATCGACGGTTGTATGCATCCATTGTCGCATGGCTATATACATGACGTACATGAAGTCTCAAGATTATACCAATTTATTTTCACACTCATTGGCTGATTGGTTCATTCGATACTTGAGGCTTTGAGAAACTGCCTGTATACCGTAGTTGCTAGCTGCTGCAGCGTTCTTTGCATTACAGTTCCTGAGAAGAATAGTGAAAAGTTGTGAGATGTCAGACAAATTATTACTTGCATCATGAAGTGGTGTTTACACACAATGCAAGTACATGAATGATCATTTTGACACACCATATGGTGACATACACATTTTTACTGTCCTTAGATATCATATAATGTGCACAAAATGTGCCAGTTAGTGGTGTGATAGTTACCAGTACATGTGTGATATGT